CCCTAAGGTGGGAGGAGCTGGGAAAAGTAGAAGAGGTGGAAAAAGGAGCCCAGAAAAAGTGGAGGGGTGGAGAGGCATGGCTGGAAAAGGAGGGGGAAGGTCCCTTTCCTCAAGTTAAGGGGGGCACAGGAGCTCCATTGACAGTCATCTTGCGCCCCCTGCTGGTGGAGGATGGTGTCTGCAGGCAGTTCGAGGCGCCCCCGTTGGTAGCTGTGGTGACCCCACTGGCTGCTGAAGGGGGAGTAGGGGAGGTAGGGTGGGTGGCCGGAGGCCCATGGGAGCTAGGAGAGCCATGGGAGGGTGTGGCTGGGCTGGGCAGGGAGGAGGAGGTGGCCGGCAAGGTGGCAGGGCTGGGAGCCTTGTCGCTGACTGACTCACACTCTGACGCCCCACTGGTGTTGGTGCCCTCAGAGGGGGTGGGTGCTGTAGGCAAGGTGAGCCGCTTGCAGGCTGGCTGGACCCGGTACTTGAGAGGGAGAGGACCGTTCTGCAGGGACAGGGGTGGAGGAGAGGAGGGAAGGGGAGGGTGTCAGGAGAAAGGCTAACCAGGCAGCTGCCCACCTTCATCCCACAGTGCCCCAAGAGGAAGAAAGGAAGGGTTGGAGCCTGGGAGAGAAAGACCTGGAAGAGTAGGAGGACCTAGGCAAAGCGAGACTGAGAGGCGGAGTGAGCAAGGCCGGAGAGACAGGCACATGAGACCCAGCGAAGTGCAAGACCAGGGACTGGAGAGGAAAAGAGGGAGGCCAAAGAGCAGAAAGCAACATTTACTCCTCAGTCACCAGGCCCTTTTCTGACCCAAGGTGGGGCATGGAATCTGTCCAAGGGTCTTTTCTCCTGAGTGTGGGAGGTCATCAGTAAGAGAGCCCCGAGGCCTAACTGGTATGGCGGGCCGCCCTGGACACGGCCAGCTCATGGGACAAGAGGTGAACTGTCTGTGATTAGAGCAGGGTGGCTCCTGTGGGCACTGTGGGCACAGACCAATGCCAGCCCTGTAGGGGTCCCTCCCAGCGCTGCTCACCCGCCGCCAGGGGTAGATGTAGGCGATGTCCATGAGGGTGTAGTATTCCTTCAGTGGCTCGTCCTCGTACAAAACCTCCACCTGGAGGAGACGGAGACCCCCATGACCCTGGCCAGGCTTCAGGCCCTGGCCATCTTGCAAAGAGGATCCAAGTTAGGGGTCTGGGGGGGAGGGGGGTGGCCAAAGTGGACTTGCAGGTGGTCCCCAATTACTCTGGGGTCCCAAGAGAACTCCTGACCACCAGGTGGAAAGGGATCCAGAGGAGATACCCACATCATTAACAACCCCCTGCCCCTGCCATCCACATAGCCATCTGGGTCCCCTTTTATTCCCAGCAGGTCCCCCAGAGGAGCTAATGGGCAAAGAAAAGGCCCGGAGTGAGAAGCATCTTGGGGAGCACTGGCTCTGACCCAGGCTGCATAGTGGAATCACTCAGGGAGCTTTAAAAATGACCAATGCTTGGATCTCACCCCCAGAGATTCTGGTTTAGCTGGCAAGATATATGAGTTGAGTTTTAGAGCTCCCCATGTGATTCTAACATAAAGTTTTGGATCCACTGTTCTAGATCCTTGATATTCAAAGTGTGCTCTGGGGACCAGTAGCATTGGCAGCACCTGGGAACTTGCTAGAAATGAGGAATCTGCTGAATCAGAATCTGCATTTTAACAAGATCGCTAAGGGATCACAGACACATTCAAGTTTCAGAAGCAATTTCCTACAGTTCTGTTGGAATTTCAGACTGGCCTTCCTTCAGCCAGCTGACCCCAGATAAGACCCTGTGTTTTTACACACATACCTCTGCCACACTTCTGAGTGTGCAAGCATACACACACACACCACCTTGCTCCCCTGTACCTCTGTACACTGGCTTCAACAGATGCAAACTGCCCCACCCTAATCTTGGTTTCAATTACCCTTCTACTGGGCGCACTTACACAACCAGGTGGGCCCTCGGTGACACCCAGTCAGCCGTGAACAATGGCTGGAATGCACAGATTGTCAGACACACCCACCCACAGATACTTTTTTCAAAGGGCCCAGGGACTCACCTTGTACTTGCTGGGCACATCCATCTTGTTGCGAAGAAACTTGGCCAGATGCATGACGGTCATGGCTGCTGGGCATCGCAGGAAGCGCACCCCTGTCTGCCAGGGGAGAGGCACCCCAGGGCTATGGTGCACCAGGCACTGTCTCCCAGCCCATACCCCACTCTTGGGCAGGCCCCAGGACTCACCTTCTCCTTGTCCCCATCCCCATTCTCCAGGGGGCCCTTCTTCTCCTCCCGGTCCCTGGTGGGGGGACACACAACGACAACATAGAGTGAAGCTAAGGAGACCCTGGCTCAGGCAGGATTCCCCAGTACACACACCCTTCCAAGGGAATGGGGCCAGGGTGGGAGAAGGGCGCAACTCAGCCTAGGACCCCGAAAGGACCAGGCGTAGGACACACTTGCCTGACAGCTTCGTAGAACTCGATAGAGAGGCTGACAATCTCATCATCACTCAGAGCCCCCTTCTCCTGCTCCAGGACCTCACCACGGTCCTCGTTGGAGCCATTGGGGACTGCAAAAGGAGAAACCTGAGTGGGCTGGCCTAGGAGGGGGGAATGGAGCCCCACCAAGGGCCCAGGGTCTCGGAGCCCAGCGGGGTGGCCCCAGCCTTCCTCTGGGCCAAGGAGGTGGCGTGGGGGTGGGGCGTGGAGGATGGGCAGCCCAGTGCACCCAGCCCGCATGCCTGGGGCAGCGCCACGCACTCACGGTCCCGGGCCTGGGAGTGCACACACATGAACTCACCTTCCGTCAGGGGGTACGCTGCATAGAAATCCCGCCGCCGTTTCATCTCATCTGAAAGAGGGAAAGAAACGGTGAGGAGGAAGCAACAGGCT